CACAACAAGTTTATCGAATTTAATAATTTTATCTGTAGACGAAAAATTGTGTTATTTTTAGTAAACACAAAAATTTGTATAAATTATTATCAAAGGGGTCCTATTCTCTAAATGGGTCCTTGGATTCTCCTTTCGGGTTGATTTGTTTTCCAACTTGGTTTTTTATGACTTCTTTGATCCGAAGAGATTTGGTCTTCGGTTTGATTTTTCCGGATTTTGGAGGGCTTTGGTCTCCGTGCAGACAATTTGATCGTCAGCTTTGGATTTGATGCCCTATTTGGACGATTCGAGGCTTTGATCTTTGATTTGGCTTTGCCGCCTTTTGGATAGCTTTGGTTGTAGGCGATTTGATCATCGACTTTGGATTTGATGTCTTCTTTAGACGATCCGAGGCCTTGATTTTTGCTTTGGTTTTGCTGCCTTTTGGAGAACTTTGGTCTCCGTGTAGGCAATTTGATCATCGGTTTTGGATTTGATGTCTTCTTTAGACGATCCGAGACTTTGATCTTTGCTTTAGCTTTGCCGTTTTTGAAGGGCTTTGGTCTCCGTGCGGGCGATTTGATCCTCAGCTTTGGATTTGATGTCTTCTTTGGACGATCCGCGACTTTGATCTTTGAGGAGGTGGATTTGGTCTCCATAACACTTTTGGCGGCGTGTCCTTTGACTTTTGGATCGAAGAAGGCCTAATTGATACTTTAGTAAAGAACACAATTAACACTTTGAAGCTTTGAGAGGAACTTTGAAGACCTTCCCTTGGCTTTGACGAATTCCTCAACGGCTTTGGGAACTTTGATCATTCCTCCGGCTTGGGCAAACGACGGAGAACGTTAACTCCATCGATTTGTCAACCAATATTGAATCATTTGTTCAAATCAGTGACTTTCGATGAAGAACGCTTCGAAGGACACGAAGAACATGGAGAACAATACATAGAGAGTCTAGAGACTTACTACTTTGTTTGAATCATCGATGTAACTTCGGTGTCTCAAATGAATTGGCCATGACTCCTATTTATAGGGGAGGGGTGGCCTTGGCTTCCTTTTCGGATGGTGCCACATGATGCGTCTTGATTGACCAATAGGAAGATTTTATAATATTTCCTTTTTCATCGGATGCCGCTTTCCATTCTTGGTGGATTTAATTGTGCACTTTCCTTTCTCTCCAAAATCTTTATATCATTTCCTTTTTTTCGGAAGATATTAATTTATATACTTCATTTATTAACAAGATTAATTTATTTTACTGTCAAATTTATTATGGCTCTATTTATGCACGTAATATTTGTACGATATCTTTCATTTTAAGCAGATTTTTGTATTAATGGTTGATATTTATTGTACAAAAATTAACATATGTGTATAATTAATTACCATAGATTTATTTTATTGAAATTTCATTTTCTTCCAAAATACATTATATTTAATTTAATTTAGGCATTTAATTTTTAATGACTACATTATCTAAATAAATTCGATAATCAATTTATCAAAATAAATTTGATAATCACAATAAGTTTATCGAATCACGTCGAGTCGAGGTAGAACCTCTTTTCGTCACGAATATGCTAAGAAAAGTATAGATTCCAGAGCTTGCCGGAAAACTCACCGAAATTGTGTGGGGGTGAAGAGGAGTAGAGAGGAAGAGAAGTCTTCTCCTCGTGGTGTGGTGTCTTTTGAAATGGGTGTGAGGGGGGCCTTTTATAGGCACCTCCACCCTCGGAATTTAATGTCAAGCCGAAACTGTCGGCTTTTAATGGCTTGTAACCTTACTAGTGATCAATTTTCACAATGTTGTGTATGTAAAGATATGTCGGGATTTACCGTTGTAAATACCATTCTTAGCCTTTGCTTTTGCATTTTGTCTATCACAATATATCATCACCGGAGGAAATAGATTTTTTTTTTCCCAAAATAGGTCGAGCTTTACAAGTTTATTTCGTGAACTTTCACGAAATTGCTCCACCTCTGGTCAAAAAGACATATCCGTTTGTAGACAACGAATATTTCGTTTCAAATATCCCGTTAGTATCACAGTATCCTTCAAGTACTAGAGAATATCTCGTGTAGTGAATGCTAAAAGTCGAGAATATATTTTAAATACATCAAGTCTCTTACTAGCTTTACACGACCTACCGCTTTCTTCACAGACGGTACTTCCATTTTAGCCAGGCACATCCCCACATATCAAATATTTGTACGAAGGTTTTTTGCATATCCACAATTTATAAGGAGTTTTATCCTTTCTTTTAAGTGGAATTTTATACAGACAGTTAGAATTGCCCCCAATTTTTGGTAATTCTGAATAAATCAACAAGACATTTATGCGTTCCGTAACGCCATTCGTTATGATGAGTATGATGTCGTAGTCTGATGAATTATGCAACATAATTCTTTATACAAAACTATACATTTGTCTCCCCAATCACTTCGAACTGTTTTGATATTACAGCTCATCTGATTCGCTGCCTTATTTATTATTATTATTATTATTATTATTATTATTATTATTTTTATTTATTTTTTTTAAGGTATTATTGCTTCTCTCTTTAACAGGTAAATGTAGCAATATCTCGTGCAATAATTTATTAAGGTGATTATTATTATTATTATTATTATTATTTTTTAACAGTATTAGCCATTTTTGTCTACACCCAAACTTCATTTAGTTTAAGTGTCAATATTTAGTAAATTAAAACTTACGAATCTTTTTATAGCATTTAGATTAGTATTACCCAATTTACAATGCCATAAATCAGCACACTCGAAACAACATTTTGTTCTGTCCGACCGACATCTATCAACACAGTAGAAACGTCGACACCGTATGTGACTAAACTCAAATTTCCGGCAACATCCATGATATTGGCAATTTAATCGAGTGACGATATTCTCGCGATATATCAAAGAATATTCGTTTTTATGATTGTTGGAAAAAATTTATACCGCGAGAATATCAAATAATTATCGAAATATAAAATTCGATATCAAAATAATTTATCGGAATTACTTCGATAATCAATAATAATTTATCATAATAAATTCGATAATCACGAAAATTTTATCGAAATAAATTCGATAATCAAAATATCAAAATAAATTCGATAATCAATTTGTCAAAATAATTTTAATAATCACAACAATTTTATCGAAATAAATTCGATAATCAATTTCTCCAAATAAATTTGATAACACAATAACTTTATCGAATATATTTCGATAATTATTTGATATTCTCGCGGTATAAAATTTTTCCAACAATAAGAGGGAGAGACGAGAGAAAACTCTCAAGTTTTGGTGTGTGAAATGAAGTGGTGGAGAGGGCCTTTTATAGGCACCTCCACCCTCGGAATTTAATGTCGAGCCAAAATTGTCGGCTTTTAATGGCTTGTAACCGTCGTTTATATTAATTTCGGTCATAAACACCAAATTTAATTTCGATCATAAATATATTATTTGAATTTTAAATTTCAAATAATTCTTTATCATATATGCATGTAATTATCTGGTCCGGAAAGGTGGCTAACCACAAAATTAATAACCACCATGCAACCCACATGCATTTTAACTCACCAAATAATCGGTTTCAGAAATTATAAATTTAATTTAAAATTAAATTCAATCGATTAAATAATTAACCGATTTTCCAACAAATAAACATATTCTAAAAAAATTAGAGAAATTTTCTGACGAGTATGGTTGTATATGGGATGGAATCATCCGCCCATATGCCCAGCCCCACTCCCAACACCGCTAGTACATGATGTGTATATATATAACATGCATATATCTGATATATCACATAAATATCATGTATCTATGTATTAGCATGTTATGTACGAATTATTTTTATATTAAATTATATATTAATTTAATATTTTTTATAAATAATACTTATATAATTTATTTTTATATCAAATTAAATAATTAGTTTTTATTAATATATTGTTAACAATTAACTTTAATTCAAAATATCATATTAATTATTATTTTATCGCTATTCATATACTAATTATTTTATGGACTTAACTCTATAAGGACGTGTTTGGCTGTTGATTGGAACTAACTATGGTTGAAAGTTGAATATAAATTATTTAGTTGATATTTTATCTATATTGTAATATATGATTAAATAAATTTAAAAAATAATATTTCACCTATTAAAATACCAATTCAAAATATTATTCAAATTAATTTTCAAGTAAAAAAAAAAAAATTCAAATATTTGGTCTGTTCGAACTAAAAGTTTTTTTTTATTTTTTTAACTATTGTGCAGAGACAAGCCAGGCAGACGGGCGGCGTGGAATTTGCCTCTCGGGCTCTTCTCCGTACACGAGGGTCACAATGTGCTTCTCCACCTTGCCACCGCCATTTATAGGGTTACAGTGCGGCAGCCATGTCCTATAAATACTCTTTGGCCGTCGAAATCAGTTAAAATCTGACGATTACAGGAGACAATCAGCTTGCCTCTATGAAACAAGGTTTCCGTCATGTTCGCATCACATGATGTCCGAATCCACGACCATCCACTGCGGACCGTCTAGCGTGCAGATGATCAGCCTCCGGGGGCCAGCTGGGATCAGACAACCGACAATCATGGCCGGCCACCGCGAGCTTGCCGGAATTGGTGGAGAAGAAGACATGAAGTCTCGGAATGTAACAAGATAATTAGAAATTGTACTCTAACCCTAATTTGGCATCGAAAAAGTTGAAGATGATTAGATTTGATTATACACTATAAGCAGATGGATGTTGTATGTAGTAATATGAGTTAGTTTGTTAGCTAGAATTGCGATTTTTTGATACCATGCATATTTAATATAATAATAATAATAATAATAATACTAGATTCCATATGAGATTTCAGATCCAATTAATTTGGATACCAACTTGGGATCCTATTATTGTCGTACCTTATCCCTAATTTAAATATATTATATATGTCTGTCTAATTAACTTGATCAATAATCCTGCAATCCGCAAATTCAATTTGGACAATATAATATGAGGGAGTCGACGAGTTCTTACTGCTCCCAATCTGAATCTGTTCTCATCGACGGAATTCCTAACGAAATTGCCGAGATCATATTACAGAAATTATGGACACTCGATCGAATTCGCCTGAGAAGTGTTTCAAAGGCATGGAATGCTGCTCTGCGGCAATTACGGCCGCCGCCCTCGGAGCTGCCATGGAAGATCCTGTCCAAAAGCTTCGATCAACCTGGAACCAATCCTAAGCAAATTAAACTTTTATGCCCAAGCAACAAAAAGGAATACACTTTCGAGTATCCCAACAATGGCCAATGCTGCTGCGGGTCTTCCAAGGGCTGGCTGTTCATCGGCGGCGCCGCACAAATTGGGAACATTCTGCTATGGAATCCGCTGACCGGAGAAATTACGGATCTTCCTCCCCTGTCGTCATTGCAATTTTTCGACAACTTTGTGGGTGCCGGATTTGGATTAGGGTTCGATTTCTTATCTTGTTTCATATCGAGAGTTCATGTCTTCTCCACCAATTCCAGCGGGCTAGCGGTGGCCATGATTCTCAGTTTTCTGGTCCCTGATGTCCCCCGGAGGCTGATCATCTGCAGGCCGGACGATCCTCAGTGGACGGCCGTGGATTTGGACATCATCGGTATCGGTGATGCGACCGTGACGGACATCCTGTTTCATAGAGGCAAGCTGATTGTCTACTGTAATCGTCAGATTTTAACTGATTTCGATGGCCAAAGAGTACTTATCGGACATGGCTGCCACACTGTAAGTGTAACCCTAATAAACGGCGGTGGCCAGGTGGAGATGCAGATTGTGACCATGGTGTACGGAGGAGGAGGAGCACGTGCACAAACTCTACGCTATCTGCCTGATTCACCTCTCCGCAGAGGAGCTTATAGAGACGAATTTTTGGTGGCGTCCGGCGAGATGCTGCTGCTTGTGAGCGCGGTGGTGGATCGACCCATATGTAGAACTTACCAATTTATGGCCTACAGGTGGATAGAAATCGGAGGTTTCGAGGTGCACCGGATTAATGTTTGCGGCAGCGGCAGCGGTAGCTCGCCGCCGGAGAAGCTTAGGAGCATCGGGCGGCAGGCGGTGTTCGTTGGTGGGGGTTGCGACGCGATATCGACGGCGGTGAACGATATTGATAATGGTGAATTTTCAAATGATTTCATATATTTCACGGCAAACGGTTATAAGCTGGCTTCGATCGGCTTCTTCGACTACGACGATGGCGTCTTGGAGGGTGTTTGCACCGTTCACCAAAGAGGCCTATTCGATGTACGAAACAATGCCCTTTTTGCAGATGCCATGTTGTCTGATGTACGAGACGATGCCGAATTTGCAGATGTCATGTCCTCTAATTTCACAAAGTCCAACTTTCTCGGATGGATTATGCCCGCCGTATAGAAAATAATTGTTATCTCTATTTTTGGATGAACATTTTTTTTTTATATTAGTAATTTTTAAAATATTTTTGCATTTTTATAAATAAATAAAGTATATATATATCATGTTTTAATATATGTATATTATATTTCTTTAATAATGTTTCCATAGTAAAAAAATATTAAGTGAACAAACTCATCACTATTGGATCATGTACTATTTTAATTTTATTTTTTAATCTATATTTTATATTGTACTGTTTTGTCACATATATCATACCCAGTGATCCACTCATCCACCGAATGATCATACTATAATCCAATTTACAAATCAATTAGAGGAATGAGGCTTAAACTAATTGAAGGAGAATTTTTTGATGAGAGGTACGGAGAATTTTTGTGTAGTGAATATAAAAATAATGAAAGTAAGTCGTATATTAAAGTTTTCGGAAAAAAGTGTTGAAAGAAAAAAACAAGAACAAACCATTAATTAAATTACAATTTAAATATAATTGTACTTTAATTTTATATGTAATATTTAAATTAAAATTAAAACAGGTGTATGAAATCTAAACAATATAAATTTTAATTATACTAGATAATTTGATATTTAAAAATAATTATAAATTTTTAAACTAAATTGTAAATACGATTTATTTGAAGCAAAATTATACTTTTAATTTTATATATATAGTTACAATTAAAATAAAATTTAAAATATAATTGATTTATTATAGAATTTAATAAATATATTTTCAATCATATTAGATAATTTTAAACTTCCACATAAAATTTTAAAATAAGTTAAAAATATTTAATAGTAGTAAATTATGTTTATTAGCATGTTTTCGTTAGTTATTTTAACAATGGAAAAAAAAAATTATTTTATTGAAAATTTATTCAAACACAACATCGAACTTCTCATTCGATCTCGTTGAAATGAGAAATTATAATCCATTTTTATTATGTATTAATTTCTATAGTTTGGGCATAAACCATCCAAGAAATTTAGAATTCGTCGAATCAAACAACGATAGCATATAAACGCTAAGAGTTGTTCTGCACGTGGAACCTGCCTCTTTGTTCTGGACGAATTCTCGAAGAACTGTTGACCATGAAATATATGGAATCATTCGAAAATTCACTGTTATCAACACCATTCAACGCCATCGATATGGCGTCACAACCTACACAAACGAATACCGCCTGCCGCCCGATGCTCCTAAGCTTCTCCGGCAAGCTGCCACCGTCAACATTAATCCGGTGCACCTCAAAACCTCCAATATCGAACCACGTATAGGACGGAAATTGACTATTCACACCTGTGTGTATATCCATAGTTACAGTCACCACCAGTATCTCGCCAGTGACAGCGGGTTACACGATTTGGATATACTTTGAATCGCGTAGATTCGCTTTCCTTATACGATATTTCGATCCTATTAACACTCCGGGTTACGCGAAATATATCAATTTTTTATTTCACTATGTTCAACTTTATGTATTCCTCTATCCGTGCTTTTAACCCAACTCAAACTGAAGAAACTTATTCCATGGTCACCGCTAATCGTTTTATAAAACCAAAGTATATATATATATATATATATATGTATGCAGTGCAGAACATTTCCTTCCAACCACAACAACCAATCTTTAAGGCATATGATAATTTAAACCAACTTTAACAGATAGATAGATAGATGCACTTCCTTTCAAGGATTTTCAGCCATGTGGGATCGTCGTCTGATCGTCCACCAAAAGAACCCGAAGTCCTCCCCGTAAAGGAACTGTCTCTGGGCATTGAAGATGCAGCAGAAGCAGACTTCCAAGTCAGCTAAGCTATGCGACATCTCATTAAGTTTCAAAAAAACAAATATATGAAATTTAAAACATATAAATTTTAATTATACTAGATAATTTGATATTGAAAAATAATTTTAAAATTTTAAAATAAATTGTAATTAAGCTAAATTATATTTTTATTTTTTATATATATAGTTACAATTAAAATAAAATAAAAAATATAATTAATTTAAAGAATTTAATAGATATATTTTCAATAGACTAGATAATTTAAAATTCATAAATATAATTTCTACAATTTTAAAATAAATTGAAAATATTTAATAGTAGTAAATTATATTTGTCATGTTTCTTCAGTAATTTTAACAATTAAAATCTTTTAATTTTATTATATTCAAACAATTAAAAAACAAAAACCAAAAAAAAATTTGAAAGTTTATTCAAATACAAAATCAAACTACTACTCGGATTGCTCTAAAATGAGAAACAACAATCCTTTTTTTTTTTATTAATTTTTATATTTTGGGCATAAATTATCCAAGAAGTTTGAATTTAGTCAGATCGTACAACTATGGCATCTAAAAACACCGCGTTGTTCTGTACGTTGAATCTGCATATTTGGTGAATTAATCCTACAACTGTGGCATCTAAAAACACCGTGTTGTTCTGTACGTTGAATTTACATTATTTGGTGAATCCTGTAGCTATCATTGAGGATGCAATCGGTGCCGATGCCGGACGAAATCTTCAAATAACAGTTCACCGTGAAATATATGAAATTATTTGAAAATTCAAAGTTATCAATATCCTCCACCACCATCAGTACCACGTCGCAACCTCCACCAACGAATACCGCCTGCCGCCCCATGCTCGTAAGCTTCTCCGACGAGCTGCCGCCTCTAACATTACCCGGTGCACTTCAAAACCTCCAATTCCCAACCACACATTCGACGGAAAATGATGTCTTTTACTTATTCACATGTCAAACTATTACAATATATAGATATATATAATGGATAAAAATAAATATCACTAATTTATTATTCAATATTCACTCAATCATATATTATTATATAATTTATTATTTAATATTCACTAAATCAATATATATCAAACTTTATTATATACTCATCAAATTAATATAATATTATTCTTAATAAATATCATAATTAAGTTCTAACAGTGTGCGTATCCATCGTAACGCTCACAACTAGTATCTCTCCGGACGGCGCCGGTGAGAGCGGCCCCACCAAAAAATCATCTCTACTAACTCCTCTCTGCAGAGATAAGCCAGGCGGAGGAGGGCGTTGAAATTGCCAAGCACGTGCTCCTCCAGGCACCATGGTCACAATCTCCATCTCCACTTCCCCGCCGTTTATTAGGCTAACAGTGCGGCAGCCATGTCCGATAACTCCGTAGAAATCAGTTAAATTCAACTGATGGTTACAGAAGACGATCAGCTTGCCTCTACGAAACAGGACGTCCATCGGGTTCCCGTTCCCATGGCTGATGTTCATATCCACGACCGTCCACCGCGGATCGTCAGGCGTACAAATGATCAGCCGCACGAACTTAACCGTGAGCAGAAAGCCGACAATCATTGCCACCGCGAGCTCGCCGGAATTGGTGGAGAAGACACGAACTCTCGTAACGTAACAAGATAAGAAATTGTACCCTAATCCTAATCTGGCATTGATTTTATGTATTAGTTTTGTATTCTTAATTAGTTTAAAATATTTTTTTATATTATATATGATAAAGAATGTCGTTAATATAAAAAATAATATTTTATGTTAAATTATTATAGTTTTTGTATAAATTATATTGTATTTTCTATGAATCTATATATATTATATTTTTTAATATTAATCGAAAATCGTAATAAATTATTTTTTTTAGAACACACATTTAGTAAAAAAAATTATTAGAACACATATTTAGTAAAAAAATATATTTAGTGTACAAAATATTAATACTTTTTTTTCTTTATTATTGATAAGTAGAAACTTCTTTCAAATTTATTTTGATTTTTAATTTAAGAGTGATTACCAATAATTATTTTTCATCTCTATTACCTTTGAGTTTTTATTGGGATATAATATATTTTATGAAACTTTGATTAGCTTACATAATATTTTTTATTTGATTTAGTTACCGTATTTATATATTTTTTTTATTTAGTATATTGTTCTTTTTTTTATATCTTTTTTATTTTTTAACTATAGACCAATGACATTACCAAAGCTAAGACATCAATATCAATTTTTTTTTTTTTTTTTATCACTGATAGGTATAAGTTTTTTCTAAGTTTATTTTGATTTTTAATTTAATATAGATTGCGAATATTTATTTTTAACTGTTACGTCACCTTTTTCGTTACTTTTATGATTGTTTTTCAGTTTTTACTATAACCATACTTATTACCTTTAATAAAAAATTCAACTATTAAAATTTATTACCTTTTTCAATAACCGATTACCTTCAATAAAAGTAATAATTAAATATAATTCTTAAGTTATATTGTATTAATAATTGTACACTCCAAAAAATCAACCGGGCGGGCCCAAGATGCCGCAGCCCAAGTCCCGAGAAGCCACAACCTGGAGAAAGGTCCAGATCAAAAGATAAGCCCACAGTCAACAAGTAAACGGATAAGACATATTTTTAAAATAAAAAGATATTGGAGAAAAATAAGAGATAAGAATCTTATCCGAACAAAATTAGGAAATAAAAGCTTAAGAAGGCTGAAGGACGCAGGAGGAATCATCGACTTCTGCATTAATTTGTTCTCTGCAATTTTTTAATTTCTGCATTCTTTTCAAACTGTTACAGTTTTCTCCCATTAATTTGAATTCAATTTCCAGCGTTTATTCTTGTCTTACCTTATTTCTTCGTTAATTCTTTCGGTTATCGCGATGTAATCCGGATTCTTTCTTGAGGAGGCCAGGGAACCGTACGATTAAATCAATTCCGACAGGCTTTTCCGGTTAAGCAGTCGGTGGCGATTTTTTTACGATAATAGATTGGCACGCCAAGTGGGACACCGACGTCTTGGGACTTTTGCATGCAACTTCGAAAGAGAAAACTGACGCTGCCGACGACCATAGATATTTCAAACAACAAGGAAACCGTCAGCAATTCGTCATCGCACCCCGCGCAGGAGGCTGCTCCACGAGATGAAGCCTCTGCAGCGGCTGGGAGGTCCGATCCCATTATCAG